AAACTATTTACAGTTTTAATAAAGACTATTAGACCAAACAACTTGTTTTGATGTCTGTGTCAATCTGTGTTAGAAGTCTCTTTCTTTATATATATGCTAATATGCATGTTGACAACAACTGTCATAGAGGTCCTTGTCCTGTTCAAGGTCAAAAATGTTTTACTTTTGTTCACATCAGTGAACCAAAAATACATCTTTCCCTTTGCAATATTGGATTTCCTATAACCAATCCCAGCCTGCTAAAAAATGAAATGGGCAGACTGGATGCCAATCAAATATCCAGTCTTGTCAGGGTTTGCACACTTTCTCCGATTTAAAATTCCATGACTTCCCATGACTATTTTTTTCAAAATCCATGACCTGGAAGTCTGGAATTTCTGAAATTCGTTAATATTTTAACGATAACAGATATAGTAAAAGAACAAAATTCACTTCGCTCTTGCAAAAATCTGTTATATAACAGCAATTCATATTATTGTTATGACTGGTAAATTGAAAACAGCAATTCATATTATTGTTATGACTGGTAAATTGAAATAAGTAATTTTGGTTTTCCAGGATTTCCAGGCCTGGATTTTGGAATATTGAAATTCCATGACTTTCCAGGACCCGTACGAACCCTGTCTTGTGTGAGAAACACTTCACACCCGATGATTATATTAACCCATCGAGTTGCAATGCGCCCTACTTTATTATTTTACTCTGTCTAACGCCAGACAATTTTACTCATCAAGGGGAGAGCAGTGGCACTTAATGGGTTAACTGGCCTATCTGCCCATGTGTCTAGTTAACCCATTGAGTCGTTTTGTGCCCTATTTTATTATTTTACTCTGTCTAACGCCAGACAATTTTACTCGTCAAGGGAAAGTGCTGATGCTTAAGTCAGCTGTCTCAAGGGGAGAGTGCCTGAAGGGGAGAGTGCTGATTGTGGAGAGCAATCAATAAAAGGCCAATCCAACTTATCCAAGAAATATCTAAACGAAGATGCCGTCCCATCTATTTTTGATTATCAATGATGAATCAATCAGGTTTCTTGGAGAGAACTAGATACTGTGAAGGTTTTTGATGCATACCAGACAAATTAGTCAGTTTCTTCAAACTAGTTTCCATTGAAAACTTTTGCTGTCACTAGTTCTCTCTACAAACCTGATTGATTCATCACTTTTCACTGTCCAGGCCATATAGACTTGAGATCCCTTGACATCTGCAGCAGCAAGGAGGTTGTCAAAGTCACACTAAACAGAGCATCAGAATTTTCGCACCAGCAGACCAAATAAATGAAGTAAAATAGGTTTTAACTTCAAAATACTTCACAATATTATTCCCTGTTATATATCCCAACCGAGATCCTCGAGAAAAAAAGCACCCAAAGAACCAAAACCTTTATTTTCTGTAACAAAATGTCTCGAACTGCTCAACCGACTATGTGATGATTTTCAGATAACATTTAGCGATCGATTATTTCGTCTTCATTAAACTTAAATTGTACAAATATTCATCCAAAACCTTCACACCAGTTAGTTCTTGCCAAAATAAAGTGATAGAATGGGATCGGAAGCTGTAGGACGACGCAAAATGCAAAAAACATGTTTTTTCCCTATCTCGCTCTATGATTTTTGCCCGGTTGAGCCGCCATTTTGAATGCTCATGAGTGTCACGCTCGTGCGTTATAGAAAACATTAGAGTCAGCAATCTAGGTCTCCTATATCTATGGTCGGTCACCAACGATGGGTGGTCATCCTCGCTGATCTCAAAAATATGGCGGATCGTCATGAATAACGGACACTGATTGGTCCAATTTAAAGTTTGCATTATAAAGACTGCATGACGACAGCGAAATAGCAAACATTTCTTGATTTGATGATTGATAAATTTCTTGCAAATATATTTCATTTTTGCTCGTATTTCTGCAAGATTTTGTAAATTTCAAGAAAGAAAGGGCGAAAGAATCAGCTAAAAGAAGGGAGCCGACGTTAACGAAGGTAAGTTTGTTTTAAATATTGATTTTATAATGGCTTTAAAACCCGGCGGCCTTTGCGTATATGAAACAACTATTAAACAAGACAGCATATATAAATTTCAGTGTAACGTTAATATTGATTCCCTTTTTTATTATATTGAATTTTTAAATAAAAAATAAAGCAAAGACCAAAGTTATTTGCAAGCGAGAATTTGAAATCATTTTATTGCAAACTCAAAGTTTATCGATAAAGCCATTTAATAGTTAAAGGCAGTTTAGTTTTATAAAAAACACTTTAAAACGTTTTGTGAATTGTTTGTGGTTGAATTTTACCTTAAATTGAAGCTTGTATTACGTATAATTACATACCTAACATATATATATGTTGGGAAATTGATAATTTTGTAATTTAAAGTGATATTTTTAGGCGATTTTCATTTGTAAGAATATTCTTATAAAATTATCGTGTTACCATGACAACTACTCTAGATACTTCCTGTTCGGAAAATACAACGGTTTTGTCAGCAAGGCGAGGGTTTCTGCATGCATGTATTTTCTAGTTATGTTATGATTGTTGTATTTATGCTCTAATTGTGATGTTTGTTACTTTAATGCAACCTCGTACCCAGGATGACTTTAATGCTGATTTCAACCTCGTATACGAACCCAGGGCTTCTGCGCTTATTGCTCTCCGAGAGAAATTTCTCGAGCTTCATTCTTGATATCTTGCTTTTCCTTAAAAAATTCCTGTGAGATTAAAAAAATGTGCTGTTTTGTCACCTGGGGTTTCTTGACATTGTCGAAACAGCACAACTGGTCATGGAAACCATGCTTTTGAAGTATAGGCAATTAGATAATTTCATCAATAATTGGCTAAGGCAACCTAAAAAAGCATGTATATTTTATCTTCTATTGTCAGAATATTACACTGCCTATAGTTGCCTGACAATTTTACTTTGGTATCAATGAGTTGAGTCCATCAGTGGTTGAGGTTTAATTAAGCAGATTATTATTTCAAATTAACTTTGAATATATTTTATATTTGTTCTTATAATTAATATACTCAATTAGATATTGAATGATAAATACACCCCACATTTTAAATAAATTTTGTTGTTCTAATTCAAAATTCAACTTCACTATTAAAGTAGATTCACTCTACAGAAAGCTTCATTAAGGTTGCTTTCCAGTTTAACAGAATAACAAATAAAAAAGTACTAAAAGTAAAAATATCTTTTATGGTACCAACTAAGACATGTCTATATATTTTGTAAAAAGGCTTTATAGTAAGATGGATAATTGAAAATTTGAAACCCTCTGGTCGATCAAGGTTAAACATAAACAGGGATGCCGGAAAATCGATAATAGCGGGTGCAGATATTCATATATTCGCGTTCTGCCCAATTAATTTCTTTTGAAATCGATTGTTTTTACAGTCTGTGAACACGAATATATGAATATCTGCACCCGCTATTATCGATCTTCCGGCATCCCTGAACATAAATGATAAAATGAACTACTAACTTTCCTTTAAAAGTATGCGTGAGTATAGTAGATTATATTCTGTCTCCGTAATTGGAAAGCAAACTAGAAATTGTGCTGTCATACCACTGTGGCGATAAAATATTATTCCCGCATGGACAACGTGCCGCAAAACTGGGTGTAAATGAACTACCGCCTCTAAAGCATCAACGCTATTTATAGATGTCATTAATTAAGTAAATATTCAAAATTAGCCACTCCCAAGTTGCTCCCAAGTCCCAACTGCCCAACATAAAATAAATTCCTTGATTCTCATCACCACCCGACTGAATTTTAAAATCCTCGTGAAAATATTTTATATTTCGCTATACAATATAAATGTAACGCCCGACAAAATAATTCAAGACAGTTAAATTTTTTATATTTTATATAGGGTTTTTATTGCCATTTTAAACTTCCAATTTGAAACAAACAGAATTTTGAATGAAATTTCATTGTATTTTAAAGAAACTCAGTCATTCTGTCATTGTTCGTGGAGATACGAACTATTTTTATATAAATTATATAAATATAAAATATAAAAAATAAATCTCCCACTGTCTTCGACATTTCAAAGTGTAGACTGTGTCTAGTGATGAGAATCAAGGAATTTATTTTATGTGTTAATATAAACCAAGCCCGTTTAGCTGCCTTAAAACGGTGGTTTAACAAGCTCAAAATACAAATCATGCAAGTCTATACTATAGATTCATCATCAGTCAACAACTAAACTGAAAGTTTTGAACCTTATAGAACGATAGTTTTTATTTGTTTACAACTATACATATTGAACGGGTATATAAGAGTTTAACTGTTATTTCATAATTACAACCTCGTACCCAGAGCTAGTCGCGAATTGAAGGCGGCGACATAGCCCTGGTAACGCTGGTCACGTGTCAGGCAAATACTCCAATATTCTTGGAGTATTAGCCTATGTTTTTAAACTTATTTAATTCGCAAAATATACGGAAAACAGACGTGAAATTTAACATAAACAAAAATTTACAAAAATATAAAGTTACTTTCGTTTTGTACATATTCGGGGAGTCCAAGCCCCTGCAGTTCCTCGAACCAGTCTCTTTCTCAGTAATAATCAGTTTCTACTCTGGAACATCCTCCCGCCCGATGCAGGAAGTGCATCAACTTTCATTAACTGACAAATGTCAACAAACTAGCTAATTATTGTTCAATGTTTACTTTAGTCCTGCTGCTATGTCAGCATCACAAGTTTCTAACACGTGTAGTCTTTGTACAGGACGACGGGTATGGCGGCCTGAGGGCAAACGTAACGTTACAGATCGGATCAGACCATCTCTTCCTTCATGCGTTGCCTCAACACGGGCTTTCGGCCATTGTCCTCTTGGAACATTATCCACACTTACGAGTACTACATCACCCACATGCATTTTTCGACCAATATCGATCCATTTTTTCAAAGTGGTTAACGACTTTAGATATTCCGCATTCCATCGCTTCCAAAATCCATTTACCAAACGTTGATGATATTGTAATCGTTTCTTTAAGGCGTTGAAAGTGTGCTCCGTAACTTTCGTATCTTTGCTTGGAAACGCCTGTAAATTTTCCCAATGAGAATCTGGGCTGGCGTAAGGGCCTTTAAGTCATTTGGTTCAGCTCCAATGTAAGTAAGAGGACGACTGTTAATCTGAGCCTCGATCTCCGTCAAAATGGTGGTCATTTGCTCGGCGTCTAACATTGCATTTCCAAAGATTTTCTTCAGCGGCAACTTAACACTTTTCACGAGACGTTCATAAAATCCACCCCACCAAGGGGCTCTGGGTACTATGAATTTCCATTGAATCTTCTTCTCAGACAAAGCTGTACGGGTTTCTTCGGATTCCAGGATTCGCCAACAACTCTGTAACTCTTTTTTAGCACATTTGAACGTTTTTGCATTATCTGACCAAATAATACTACACATGCCTCTTCTCGCAACCATACGTCGTAACGCCAGCAACAACCGTTCAGTTGTCATGTTGCTTACCAATTCTAAGTGTACTGCACGAGTGACAGCACAAGTAAAAAGGCAAATATATGCCTTTTCACCACGGTTCTTAAGATACAAAGGTCCAGCAAAGTCCAAACCAACGTTTGTGAATGGAGGTGCAGGTACAATTCGGTCAGCTGGAAGAGGTGCCATATGTTGAGAGACAGGCTTGGTGTAAAACTGACGACACACTATACATCTCTTTACGATTTTGCGGATCGTAGCTCTTCCTTTTATCAACCAAAATCTTTGACGGACCACTGACAATGTATGCTCAACGCCAGCATGCATTTCACGACGGTGAATAGCTTGAACAAATAATTCTACAGCAGGATGATCACTAGGTAAAATAATGGGATGTTTCTCCTCCTCGGGCAACTCAGCTTTATGGATTCGGCCACCAACACGAAGCAAACCGGTAGACTGACACAAGAAAGGATTCAAGTTTCTTAATTTACTATCGTTCAATACTTTACTTTGTCGAATCAACAAAATTTCCTCTGAAAACCGTTCTATTTGGATTCGATTGACCAACCAACGTTCTGACTCTTGGATTTCTAATCCAGTTAAGACATTTTGTCTTCTTTCGTCCTGCTTAACTTGAGCATTGTAGATAAATCTCTTTATCCATGCTATGGTTCTCAATAACTTATTGTACTTGCTGAATCTGGCAAAGTCAATAAATATCTCTTGTGGTTGTATGACATAACTATTGATACTGGCTTGATGCGTTCTCTCAATCTCAACATATTCATTTAAAGATGCCGATCGTCGATCCTTTGGCCATTCTTCTTCAGAACTTCTCAACCAGGCAGGTCCTTCCCACCATAACCGACTTTCTTTCAATTCATTCGAAGACATTCCTCTAGTGGGTACATCAGCCGGGTTCTGTGGTCCAGGGCAGTATCTCCAGACCGATGGATCTAACAGCGATTGAATTTCCATAACGCGATTCGCAACAAATGGTTTCCATTGTGAAGGTGAACCACGTATCCAGTGAAGAGTGGACGAGTTATCAGTCCAACAGACAATACGATCAATTTGGCAGTCCAACGCATTGCGAACATAAGTGCACAGTCGAGCAGTAATAACTGCAGCCATTAATTCCAATCTCGGCAGGGTAACTCTTTTAACGGGTGCTATTCGGGTTTTAGACATAACTAGACTGGTTGAAACATGTCCCTCAACAGACAAAGCTCGTAGATAGACTGCAGATGCATATGCAAGTCCGATGCATCACCAAATGCATGAAGTTCCAATCGAGAATAGCGATTCATGGGCAACTCTACATAACACCGTGGAATGGCAAGGTTTTCAAGATCGTTGATCTCCTTCAGCCATTGTGTCCATTTTCTGCAGGTTTCAGTAGGTATTTCGTCATCCCATCCAATGCCTTGGGTCCACAGACTTTGTAACAACATCTTTGATCTCACAGTGAATGGTGTGATTAATCCAATTGGATCAAAAACTTTAGCAGCGCACGAAGCCACATGTCTCTTTGTGTATGTCTCAATCTGTGGTTGACCAATTTCAATTATATATGTCAAAGTATCTTTGTTAGTGTCCCATTTCAGACCAAGAGCTTTCGTAATTGAACAATTCTCTGGAAAACTTTGGTTAAGGTTGATGAGACTGTTAGGTGCTCTATCTTCTTCAGGTATAACTTCTAAAAGCTCTCGAGAATTACTTGACCACTTGGTTAAGTTAAATGCCGCCTGCGCCATCAACTCCTTCGCACTTTGTTGCAGCTCTCTCGCTTCATTAACTTCCTCTCGACAAAAGGCAAAATCATCAACATATGTATTCTTAAGAATTTCATCACACACTTCAGGATGCAGTTCTTTATTTCTCTGTACATGCTCTTGGGTAGTACATATTGCCAAAAATGGACTGGCAATAACCCCAAAAGTCACTCTAGTCATTCTGTAAACTTTGGGAGATGCTTCAAGATCAAGGTCTCGCCATAAATACCGATGAGAATCTCGATCTTGTTCTCTTAAACTGATCTGCAAAAACATTTTCTCAATATCACTTGTAACAGCGATCTTCTTCTTTCGGAAACGCAAAAGAATACCACATAGATCTGGTTGTAAAGCTGGACCACTGATCTAATAATACACTGGATATAGCTTCTATACCTATCAAAAGTGAAGCCAACTCGCAAGCGTGCAAATTTACTTCCGGATACCCAAAGGAGCGATAATTAATATGGCGTTATATGGAGAAATGTGATGTCGAAGCAAATATTTTGTAAATATGAGCCGTTTTCGTAACGCGATCATGCTTATTTGTGCTTCTTATGAAAGATGAGTGTCTTATGATTAATTTGTAGTAAAATTGCTGCCTGTTACGCTTACACATCGCTCTAGAATTTGTTTGAAGAGTGGCATGTTTATGGTCCCGAGTTGTGGTTTATGCTGTCTACGAGTTTAATAATGAAGAGGATTATAATACTAAAGTACTTCTGGATTTTACAGGCGGTAAGGAATCTTTTTTTCTTATAGACAATTAACGGCACCGAAGTTACGACGCATATTATATCTGTTTACTGTTTTCATTTCTAATATACGCTCTTCCGATCTATCAATATAATTATTACTTACAGTAATAAATATGCAGTGGCAGTTTATGTACAATATTTACATTTAATAAACTTGATTGCTTGGCTATTAGTGTGGTCGAATTATTCAAGTAAATTTTTGCTATAGAAATCTAAGGCCTGTATTCTAAAAGCGCACTGATACTCACTGAGTGGGAGATCACAATCACCTTATCACCATTACAAGACTTATAAATTTGCACTCGTTTGAGAGTTTGTTTTTGATCATTTTACTAAAAGTCTTGCTATTGATTGAGAAAGGATTCTATCATTGATCAGCAGAAATGCGATTTCCGTTTCACATGCACTCAGTGAGCTTGTAGAATACAGGCGTAAATCTTAATGTTTATTGTGAAGGATTCACTGATGTTCAAATAACACTAATTTGGTTAACTTCTTCCTAACTCTATTTGTAGATAACTTGTCTGTGTATGATTTTGCAAGATGGTGAAAACGAACCTTGCAGTAGCATTGCGAGATTGTCTTAATCAGTTTTAATGTATGATTGTCATCCACAGGTGTATCAAACATATGTTTGTCAAGTTCTTGAAAAATACTTGTCGTATTTATGGCACTTTAGCTTGTATGTACAAATATTTTCATAATTAAACCATCTTGTAGGGTATACATTCATGACGGCATGCAAACAAGCAACATAAGGTTTGCCTTGTTGCCTACCAGAACCATATAAAAAAAACACAGGAAATCTTGCAAATGCAGCATGTGGAATCATATAATATTCAAGCAAATTCATCACAATCTTTATTAACTTTATTCATAAACTGATTCAGTGACAATATCATACACACACATTACATATTTTTTTAAAAACAAACTTGGTACTCTGGAACCAGTGGCAGACACTTATATATTAAAATATTTGACAGATAAATTTTTGTTGCTGATTTTCTCATGTCATTCAGTTGCTTCATATCAATTCTCAGAATTGTCATTCCTCAAAATTTATGTTAACCTTTTTTGGATGAAACTCTATCAGAGATAAATGTAATGGTGTGCAGAGCTACTAAGCCATTACAGCAACTGGTCTTGCTATACAATTTTTTAGCAATTTGAATTATTCAAGTATTTAGAAATTTATTGTCTTTGGACTGCTTAAGTTTGCATTTATTACCACAGCACAACCAGTTGCTATGGCTAGCTCCGGCACTGATTAGACTGACAAGGAGTCACCCCAGTTTACCCTCCCAAATGTCAGTGACATACCAAGACCACTCTGGGTGGGGGATGTTCCTGTACAGCCTTTTCACATTACAGACTAACTCAACATTTTTATCCATTTACTGACCAGTTTCAATCAATATATGGACAAGTCACATTTTCAACATAATCTCTGTTTAATTAACAAAGAGTTTTTCAGAAAGTGGGGGTGCCATACCCACACCCATCCAGCTCGGTATGACCCTGTGTCTGCCACTCCTTTTTGGAATATGACTAATAAATATCAAGCTAATATAAAATTCTAAACAGCATCTATAGATTTTTCATTCTATTCAATGTCTTTTCTTTCATTACAGGCCTAAAAAATAAAGCTATGTTTCAGTCATGGTTAATATCAGGGTCCCCACGCCCTTGAAAATCCTGGAAAGTCCTTGAATATGAACAAAAATTCCAGGCCTGGAAAGTCCTTGAAAATTGATACAGTCCTTGCAAGTCCTGGAATTTTCTTTCAGTTGGGCTGGTAATAGTTGAAGGATGCCTAAATTACTCATTTTCTTCAATTTCAATAAAAATTAAGTATGATAGTCCAAAACAAGTTTACTGTATTAAGAACAATGAATTAGTATAGTACATGACATTCTTGCTTTCCTCGAGTTTAGTAGCAAGCCTTAGGCCATTTTCAAAGATTTGTCCAGTTCCTAGGTCCTTGAAAGTCCTTGAAAATTGATAAGGTCCTTGAAAATCCTGGAAAATTCCTTGGATTTTATATAAGCCCCGTTTACACAAGCACATTTATTTGACAAATTTCATTGTGACAAATGCATTTGATCAAAAGCTAACATGCTAGCTTTTGATCAAATGCATTTGTCACAATGAATTTGTCACAAATTTATCATCTACACCAGCAAAATATCTTTGACATACGAAATTTGTCAAATAAAATTTGCTCGTGTAAACGGGGCTTTGATTAAAAGGTGGGAACCCTGTAATATTTATACCACATGTCGTTATAATTATACACTGATTCATAAAGAAAATAACAAAACGAACAACATATCACATATTACGAAACATTTCCAGTGGCAGTGTTACTGTTTTTAGATTACAGAGTTGGAATTATAGGCAAAATAACACTATTAACACACAATGTTGTAAACTCAAATGCTCTTTTTATCTTTGAAAACAAGTATTAAACCGTTATTTCTTACGGCGTAGAATATTGTCCTCACCATGATAAGAAGAAAATCCAGAAGCAGTTTAGTATTATAATCCTCTTCATTATTATTTAAAACTCCTCTTCATTATTAAACTCGTAGACAGCATAAACCACAACTCGGGACCATAAACATGCCACTCTTCAAACAAATTCTAAAGCGATGTGTAAGCGTAACAGGCAGCAATTTTACTACAAATTAATCATAAGACACTCATCTTTCATAAGAAGCACAAATAAGCATGATCGCGTTACGAAAACGGCTCATATTTACAAAATATTTGCTTCGACATCACATTTCTTCATATAACGCCATATTAATTATCGCTCCTTTGGGTATCCGGAAGTAAATTTGCACGCTTGCGAGTTGGCTTCACTTTTGATAGGTATAGAAGCTATATCCAGTGTATTATTAGATCAGTGGT